CTTCCGATCTGTTTAAAGGGATGAATCCACTCCTTATATGTAAATTAATTCTTTTTTTCTTTTGTTATATTTCGATAACTATTTAAGATATCAAAAAATGTTGTATATAAAAGTTTCACAGTAAAATGGTCTTTATTCATTTACGTTAATAATATTTTTCTAAATAATTATATTTAAAAAATTTTTTGAAAATAATCATTAAAAAATATTTTATTAACGTAAATGAATAAAGGTGATTTTACAGTAAAACTTTTATATAAAACATTTTTTAATATCTTGAACAGTTTTCAAGATATAACAAAAGAAAAAAAATTAATTTACATGTAAGCGATGGTTTCATCCCTTTAAACCGTTTTTTAGCATCAACTGATAATTTCTAAATTCATCTATTTATGTGACCTCAAAGTGTACCAAGTTTCATTAAAATCAGAATTTGACACTTCGCGAGGTTCCCTTGTTAGTCAAAATAATAAACTAAACGCGTATCAACTCGAGAAATTCAGAAATTTCAGTTTCTCCAATTTCAATATCGACAAAAATTTCTAACTTCAAACTTTTTAAATCTAAACTAATTAATTTAACCAGCATTTCTTAATTACACACTTGCAGGAGACCACTGCGACCTGGAGATCGCTTACGAGCATTCGCTACCGCGATTTCCGGCGTCCCTGACGGCGGGACCGTTTGGCGGCGTGCGGGGTCGGGACTTCCTCTGCGTACAGTGTCTGGACGGCACGCTTTTCTTCTACGAGCAAGAGACTCCCACCTTCAGCCTGGTTCTCGGGAATCGACTGCTGCCGGAGCCGATCGTCTACGTTTCGCGGAACGACATCTTCGTGACGCCGAGCTCCTCGTGGATCCTCGAATGCTACAGGCAGGTTGTTCCACCGTGCCGTTTCCGAGTAGCCCGTCAATGAACACCTGCCGGTGTACAGATAACGCGACCGTGATATATCGGATTGCAGCCTCAGGATTACGAACCGAGAGGACGAATGAAGAGATATATAGTCCATTAGTCATTAAATTCGCAGTGATGGGAGAAAAGCTCTTTGTTATCGAAAGATTTGTAGGTCACTTTAGAACTTGCAGTCGCAAGTGGAATATAATTTCTTCTATAATTTCCAATTACTTGCGAAGAACAATCAAAATTTAGATACATTTTTAGCAAAGTTGTAACGATAAAAGCAGTAACGTAAAAAAAAAAAGAAAATGTATATAAGTTTAGAAAACATTTTCTAACGTTTTTAAAATTCGACGTACGATTTATTGTATTTTACACTAAAAAAATATTAATGAAATAAGATTATAAGTACATACGCGGACACGTGTGTGTCTATTTCGTGCAGGTACAAGAGTATGGCGGAATTTGGTAGCAAGGATCACTCGGAGGAGCCAAAGTACCTAGAACCGGACTGGAGTTACAATATTGGGGAGGCCGTTCTCGATATCGACGCCGTAACTTTGAGCAGCTTCGAAGTCGGGATTCTCATACTCGGCGAGAAGAATCTGTATTGCCTGAAAGACAACTGCGTCACCCTGAAGTACGCGAAGAGGCTCGAATACAAGGCACTCTGCTTTCAAGCATACGTGATAGGTAATTGACATTTGGCAGTCGATTTAGAAACTCCTTGAGAAAGAAAAAGAGAACAGGAAAAAAGGGGAAAAAAGTTAAATTTTGATCTCAGCCAATGCTTTTTCTTGAAGAGAGAAGAATGAAAAGATTGTGCTCGACAGGCCCGGCGATTTAGTCTCGACTCTGGGTGTGGAATATTGTGGAAATTTTTGATGAAAAATCTCCCCCCTTCCCCCTCTCCACAGTAGTTGAGAAAATTTTCAAGTGCACACGGAAAGAACAATTTTGCTGGATCCAGATTTGAAAATAATTTTTGTTCAATAATCAAAATAATTTTGTTGGAAAGTCACAATGATTGCTAGAATATCAAATCGTTTTATAGCAGTACTTATAACTTTTAACTTTCCAACCAATTATTTTGATAATTAAACAAGAATTATTTTCAGATCTGTATTTAGCAAAATTTTTAGACCTTTCAACAAAAATGTTCTTTCCGTGCACAAATTTTTAACATTTAATTATTTATTTCTTTATTTTTTATAATCGAAAACGTGGATGCTCTATAATTATATTTTTATTTACAAATTCATTTAATAATTTATCAATATTACTACAGCCTCCGCTAAATCTCTGCGGATATATAATTTATATGGGTGTGGATTTTCCGCGCGGGTGTAGATTTTTTCGGGTGTGGAAATCCACACCTGATTTTGGGGAATGGATTGCTCCACACAATCCACACAAAAAACACCGGGCCTGGTGCTCGGGCTAAATAGCTGGCGCGACACGCCTAATTAACTATTTTTGACGGGGATAGAAAATATAAGTGTGCTAATTGAGCGCGATGCTTGTAGAGCCGGATGGCAAGCTGATGGTGCTCGTAATCGCTGACACGAACACTCTGATGATTTACGAGGGCACGACTCTTAAGTGGTCAGCTCAGCTACCTCTTACTCCGGTCGCCGTAACTCGAGCGCATTTTCAGGTAACCGATTGCATAATTCTGTGACTCGTATATTCTTGTTCGACGCGGCACTTCAAGATGTTATCCCGTATAGAAAGCCGTAAAGAAAACCAATAATTTTTCATGATCGTTTCGTAACATGTTTTGTCGTAACTGCAGTTGCCTATTGTTATTATTTATTATGATTTATAATAATTGTTACATTAAAGTTTAATCAATTTGTAATATAACATTAATATTAATATTAAAAATGTGTTACATCTCAAAAGCATTATCAAAAATATAAAAATTTCATGGATTGTGCCATTATTACGTTTGAGTATCCGTGTAAAATTCTTCTTGCCGATTTAAAAATTATCTGATTTCTCGTTCACATTGATTCTTATGTAAAATCACATTTTGCAGTATCTAATATTTGCAAATTTGTTGAGAAAAAGAGTAATATTGAGAATTAAAAATCAAATTTATTACATATAATTATAATAAATGTATTTATTGTAATTCATATGATATAAACCTAAGAAATCCGCAGTTTTCAAATTTCTATAACTTTTAGTTGGTATGTACAACTCGAAACATCCTTGATATTATATTATAAATTTCTCACACTTTTTTTGTGTAATACGTTATAGATTCACAATAGATAGAACAAAACTGTATCATTTTCTTAATATTAAACATTTTGCAATAAGCAACAACAATGTAGCAGTCAATATATTGGGTGGATCCATATATTCGTTCGGTTTTTGAAGGCTAAAATGAAACAAGTTTTTTTCATACAAAGGATGAATTTTAACCAATGATATATTCTCCGTTTTTGTTAATGACCTCTTGCCACCAACAAAAACGGAGAATATATCATTGATTAAAATTCATCCTTTGTATATGAAAAAAACTTGTTTCATTTTAGCCTTCAAAAACCGAATATATGGATCCACAAAAAAAAAAGGAATTTCAATTACATCCGTAGTAAAAATCATATTGATAATCTATTCAGTCTTATTTTATCATTTCGTTTCTGCTAAGAGCATTGAAATAGTACCTACAGCAATGGTAGCGATGGTTGATATGTTGCATCTGCAGACGAGGCAACTATTAATCTTCACCAACGAGAAAAGACTGGAAGAAAAGAATTATCGGTTGTCGAAAGGTTGCCTTATCTAAACAACGATATTGGATAGTGACATATAGAAGATATGGGAGAATTCCTTTTAGAAGAAAGAGAGAGAGAGAGAGAGAGAGAGAGAGAGAGAGAGGGAGAGAGAATACCTCGATGGAGCACGCGTATCTACATACGTTCACCACGACAGTCCACAATCAAAGCCGATGACATTTGACAAAGAAGCAAGCCGAGACCTCCGGCACATATCGGAGTATCCTCTTCCGTGTCGCATTATCAGCACTGCCAGCCGTTGTTTCTCTGACAACGCGCGTTGTATTAGGCACGAACACGATCTATCGTGTCCTTGCTACTAGAAGCCTCTTTTTGGCGTAATTTCGCCACGCTATATTTCAAACAAGTTGATAAAAATAAATTAATATTAATTAATAATTTGTAATTAATAATAAAATTTTAAAAAATTTTTTTTTAGTTTATAATAATTTATAATTTATAATTACTCTATTTAAATAGAGCAATCTTGAGCTTCTATAACAAACTTTTTATAAAACTTATTTTGTCTTTTTTTTGTAAGAATTCTCGGGCATTATAAAGCAAAGATGTATCTCGGTGAAATACGATATAATGTTCAAAAATATGAAAGCAAGTTCTTTGCTAAAAATTTTTCGGAAAATATCTAATCCTAGTACCTTTCGCTATAGATTGAATGTACGTTCGCGCTCGGCTGACCTTTTGTCTATCTGTAAAGACTGGCGTCAAATGCCGACGATAAAATGATAATCAAATTGCTCGGGAACACGTTCGACCATCTTATGGATTGTTCCTTCGAGAACCTTTGAAACCGCAAGGTGGGATAGGGAAAAAAAAGTGAAAAGATAAAAGCGAAGAGCTCACGTGTGGCGATCGAAAGAAACGCTTCAAGGCTTTTAGCCATCGGCGTCGCCGATGAAAGAGAACCGGGAAAGGAAAAAACCGCAAGAGGGCAGAGGGAAGGACGAGGAGTCGGCGCAATTATCACCCTGGTTTTATCTTATCGTCCTGCCGCAGAGCTAGCGCGCGCGGCCAGCAAGGTTGCCATTGTTGTCTTTCCGGGGGACACGGCCGAGCGCGCGAATTGCTGGCTAATTAGCTTAATACCGAGAACTCGGCTTCGTTAATCAGCGGAACTATCGCCGCGGCAAATTGGAGCTGTTCCGTGCGTATATACGCGTCTCGACACGAGAAAACGTTTAGAAAACGCCCGAAATCAGCGCCGGACGCACGATCCGAAGTGTGTTATGAGAATAGCGAATGATTATTCTTTATCTTATCTCGCGCAATGACAAAAGCAGAAATAGCCTTTCTGCCTTCGTTATATGGAAAGAATCTGCCATAAGCGTTCGAACTCAAGTTTTGCACGCGCAAAAGGAAGTCACGGTCTGATGCACTCGTCTTTAAAACGAAGAGAAACAGAGTTTATTACAATTGGTGCATGTCTAGGGTAATTCCGGTATATAACGCTGCACCTATTAAAATCTTAATTTATCAGGTATTATTACACGGAAAGCACGATTTTGTTGAAAGGTCTAAACATTTTGCTAAATACAGATCTGAAAATAATTGTTTATTGAATCATCAAAATAATTTGTTGGAATATTAAAACTGATAAGCGTTGCTATAGAACGTTTTGATATTCTAGCAATCAATTTGACTTTCGCACAAAATTATTTTGATTATTGAACAAAAATTATTTTCAGATCTGGATTTAGCAAAATTGTTCTTTCCGTGTAATTATGATTAAGGTAAATTAACTATACCAGTAAAAACTTTAGACTGTCTACTACTATGAAAAAAATATTAGGAATCCAAAATATTTATTTTTTATATTAAAAAAAAATTGTTTAAACCCTTGCAGTTTTGTCGTATAAAAATATGGGTGGGTATTATTATTATCATCAGGTATTATTAATTATGGTTAAGGTAAATTAACTATACCAGTAAAAACTATAGACTGTCTACTACTATGAAAAAATATTAGGAATCTAAAAAATGTATTTTTTATATTTAAAAAAAATTGTTTAAACTCTTGTCGTTTTTGTCGTATAAAAATATGGGTGGGTTATGCGGCTACTCACGAGTGAAATGAATGATTTAAAAAATATACAAGTAATCTAAAGAGCTAAGCATTTGTATTTTGCTATACTCTATCCTTTACAATTCCTCTACACTTATGTACCACGAAATAACCACGAAGCCTTTTATATTCCCTACAATAATCATTTTAAGTAGATTTTAACTTATGGTTGTGCTACTTATTACAGTGATAAGTCGATTCAATTTACAATAATTTTATAAATATTAACAGTAAAAAAATCATAACACAATACTAATATAACACAAAGGTATGTAACAAAGCGGTTGCGAGAAAATTACTTTCACTTCTTCTATTATTTCTGAATTCTGCAGCATAAATCCTCGCGCGGCGTATATACCGGAGTTACTCTATGTAGAGGAGAGTGAGCATGAAAGAGCCAGTTTTTTTTAAATTTGAAAACAAATATTTAATCTAATATTAATGAAATAAAATCGCTTTGCAACATAAGAGTACTTATTTATCTACAAGATTGATTTAATAAAAGAAATATATATAATCATTAATAGATGTTATAAACTTTTTTTTAAACTATAGGGAATTCGACTCTTTCAATACACAACGTGATTTTTTGAAAAAGCCACCATTAATTTCTTTAACAACTTAATTCCTGAATGACAACAGCAGAAGGGTTGTTTTCTTTTCTTTGGCTTATCTTTGGTATTGTTTAAAGATATTTTGAATCAAATTTGAACAGAATGAAATTCAGTAATAATTATATTTCATTAATAACTTTAATATAATCTATAAATCATTCTATAATGCAAAAATACTTGAAAAATTATTTACAATAAGTATGCATATAAATGAACTAGATAAAGTGGCAATAAAAGAGCTGATTTTTTTATAGTTACCAATATTTATCGGCTATTGCCTGTTTCATAACATTATGTGTCAAAAATCTTACAAAATATCTGATAGACTAAAACAAACAAAAGAATTGATAACTATGTTTTTAGTTACGTTAATGATATGTAGCATTTGATTAAAAAAATACTTTTTCTAAAAGCTAATTGCGCAATAAATTCAAAAAACATAGAAATTTAACTCATAAATTTACTTTTCCTCGTAATAATCTTTCATTTCTCTCTACAACAGCGCTATTTTAGCGTTGACTGTCAAATGCCTATAGATATTGTAGTTTCAGTGTTGCTACTAAGTGAAAGTATTTTTAAATGCTTAGCTACATTCAGTTAGTTGAAATACGAAATAGCTCTTTCAAAACATGACATTTTTATGCTCACTTTCCCTTATATATACATATTGCTACGGTCAAAAGTACACAATGGCGTACACGCTTTAATTTTTAATTTTGAAGGTCAGATCACTTTTACAAGCAGGTCTTCAATTTAGCTCTATTGCTTTTGCACATTCGCGGGATAATAACTATGATGTACACAGGCGATTCCAGTCTTTTCTTTTTTTTTTAGCTACGATTTCTTTGGCCAATTTACGGTTGATCTTTTATTCTTTCGCGTCGTTGCGACTGTAATCTAGTGTTTGATGTTTTTTTTTTTAGCACTTAGACGGAGTGATCGTCGTTCTCTCCGAAGAGGGTCAGCTGGAGACTTGCTACTTGGGCTCGGAACCGTCGTTATTTATCGCGCCTCCTCTGCATCGACGCGGTTACGATTACGTGGCCGCCGAGGATGAGCTCTTGGAACTCCGCAAGTTGGCGAAGAAAAACAAGGCTTCCGGTGCGATAATGAAATGTGAATTAATATACGTGTAACGAGCATTGCAGGCGCGACGCAAGAAGCAAGTCCGCTATCGAGAATTTCTCTGAAGTTCGAATCGTCTATTTTGTAGGCAAAATTCAGCCTTTATTGCAAACATTAATTATCTTTTGATTGAAATTAATAAGGCAATCAACTCAATGACGTCACCATGGACGCCGAGCTGATAATATCCGCAACCGTGTCTGCGGATCTGGAGCCCTGTCCACGCGGAAACCAGGACGACCCGAAGGACGATTCGGAGGGTCGTAATTTAATGTGCAGAATCACCATAGAGTTGTCCACGTACACGACGCTTCGCGATGTTCAAGTATGCGTGGACGTCTCGAAGCCATTCGTCGCCGAGAAGAATCACCACGTTATTACCAATCTTTGTAAGCAAGTCACGTAAAGTTACATATTTATGACGTGAAGTCTTGAGCAAGAGAATAGCAATTTCAAAATAAAATTAAAAGACAACGGATGAAAAATAGAATGATATTTTTTGTTGGAAAAAAATGTATATGCTTGATCGCAATAATACATATTTTTTCTTGCGATTTCTTGCACGCAGAGAAAAGATTCGCCAACGCAACTAAAATATAGCCGTATGTGTGTCTTTAAAATAAGAATAGCTGATATCGTTCCTACCAAAGCTAAATTTATTATTTGTTAAAATTTAGATGCTACAGCAAAAAATATTTGCTGCTAGAATCAAATGACGTTTAACTAATTCTGTTGAGGAACATCTAGCAAAACTTTTAAATTTTTCGGCAAAATCATTCTTTTCGCATGCCACTTTCAAAGCTATTTCAGTTAAAGTATACGGAAAGAACAATTTTGCTGAATCCAGATCTGAAAATAATTTTTGTTCAACAATCAAAATAATTGCTAGAATATCAAAACGTTTTATAGCAATGCTCATCATTTTTAACATTCCAACCAAATTTTTTGATGATTCAACAAGAATTAATTTTCAAATCTGTATTCAGCAAAATTTTTAGACCTTTCAAAAAAAATCGTTCTTTCCGTACACTTTTATTTTAGCTAATAAAATTGTATCTTGCAACAAATATACTGTATCTTTAATAGATAACTTTTAGCAATGACAGCAAAGTTTAAATTAACTATACTGATATTCAGCTAAGTTATTTTTTTGCGTGTGTGATCGAACTGACGGAATTACTAGAATAATAACTAATTTGTTAAGTACACTGAGAAAAATTTCCAAGCTTTTTCCGTTCAAAAAGATCGGATTGTCCTTTTAAAAAGTAACAAACGGATATTTTCGGTCAACTTGGTCGGATAAAAAATTCGATCACTAGTTCATCGGAAATATATTGATCACTTTCTTCTTCTTTTTCCTATAATGGCCTTGGTCCCCTCAAGCAGAGATAAACTTGGCCAAGCTTACAATGCACGTATAAGATACCCGGCAGGTCTCATCATCGAGTTAAAAGAATAATGCAATACTCGAACCAAAACGAAACACGTCCACCTCTATCGAACTCAAGTAAAAGACTGGTTACAGCACTAATTGTGAGAAAAGGGGGCTTTCCTGATCGGATATCACATTTGACTTGAAAATTTCATAGGATAAACCGACAACTAGATCGGACATTATACAATTGATCGGATAAACAAGTATAATATCCGATCTAGTTGTCCACTTAGCCTACGAAATTTTAACGAATAAGCATACGGCGGCTCATTTTCCGTTCACATTTTATCGGAAATCACATTTCCTCGGGTAAAGAAAAAGATTATTTTGCAGGGGTCGGTCGTATTTAAAATAACATTACTTAAAATATGTATTTTAAATAACAAAAAGTAAAAAAGTTATTTAGTATTTATTATTTTAAATAGCTTCTTCTGATCTAC